GATGTCGGCCTCACTAACCATCAGATTTTTTATGTCTATGCAAAGACATCTTAAACCACCAGTACCCCGCCCAGCCAAAAACAAACGGCCACTTGAATTCATGGAGGTCCTTGACAAGGTTGGTAGAGGCCGGGTAGAGCCTCAGTAGAGATGCGGGGGTCGCTCGTTTTGAAAACGAGAAGGAACAACTAGAGAAGGAAATACCAATAGGATTCAACCAAAAAAAAAGTAGGAAAAAAAATATGGAAAGGGAAAAGCTGACTGGGAATGGTGCACAACAGGTGGTGGAGCGATGCATCTCGTGAAGAACTATCCAACCTGCAAATATGAGAATGAATCTTCCCCCTGAAAGATGGTTGATAACGGGAAGATTAGTATGTGGCCCTAGACAAGGATGACACACATCAATTGAAACATAGATCGGACAAAAACGAAAAGCAGAAAGCTACAGCCCCAGTGGCATCACTCTGACAGGAGCGTTACCTGCACTTCAGCAGAGATTTGCGCAGTGTCATGACTCTAACAGGCACATTACCCGCACCTCGGTAGAGATTTGTGGAGTGGCATTCACGTTGCAATGCCTTCCAATGTGCAAAATGAGGATGAATCTTTAGCCGAAACGCTGGTAGATACGCTAAAGATTAGCATAGCCTTGTGTGAGGATGACACACATAAATCGACGAACAGTCTGAAAAAAGGGAAAAAAAAACAGATACAACGGCCTACTTTTTGTCTTGTGCATTTGGGCCTCACTCCAGTACTCTCCAAATGTGCAAAATAAGACTGAATCCTACATTAGAACATGGCAAGATACATTGCCATACTTTTTTGTCATGTGCATGAGGAGAGTAGTGGAGCGGGGCCCTCAGGTTGTAGCTGAAGAGCTGTGGCATTACTGTGACGAGGGGGCCGGAAATCAGGGGGAAAAAAAACGAAACAATCAGAATAGAGCGACCGGTCGCCTGCATTGAAGGACCGATCAACTGCTATATCTCCACGGTGCAGCAACCCAATTCACGAAAACGGAAGAGGGTTGGTGGCTTGAAAAAAAAAAAGATTGGGAAGGCTGCCTCGAGGGAGCTGGTGGTTTAAGAACATGGTTAGGAGGACTTCAGAATCATAGCGGACTCCCGAAACTACGACCAGTTACTCCACGGTACTCGTGAGGTCACGCACGGTCTTGTATTTTTTCGTATCACAAGTGGACCCGCCGCAGAGAAGGACGATGACAAAAATCATTTTGCGAAACACCCCAGCATTCAGTTGGACTCCATCTTTGCAATGTACCCCTACTGGACGCTGCCCAACTTTGCAAAATGCCCCGGAAGTTGCAAGTTTTCGTAGGCACAACTGCAAAAGGCCAAGCGAATTTGCACACTCACCTAACAGGGGCATAACACAAACATGTCAGCCAAAAAGGCCATTCCACTGTGCACATATCTCTTCAGGGACATTTAACATATGTCAGAAAAAATACGGTTATTTGGAAAATAATCTCTCTCTCTCTCTCTCTCTCTCTCTCTCTCTCTCTCTCTCTCTCTCTCTCTCTCTCTCTCTCTCTCTCTCTCTCTCT